TCTGTTGCTGATTACTCCTTATTTTCTTTTGTTGGAAAGAAAGGAGTCATACATGTTTTGGTTTATGTTGACGATTTGATTATTGCTGGAGATAATACAGAGATGGTAAGCAAGTTCAAAGCCTATCTCGGAGATTGTTTTCATATGAAGGACTTGGGAACACTGAAATACTTTCTTGGCATTGAGGTGGCGAGGAGCACGTCTGGGATTTTTCTCTGCCAACGAAATACTTTCTTACGCCGTCCACACTTTAGCACAGTTTTTGAAGGAACCAAGGGAAGATCAGTGGTCTGCGGCCCTTAGAGTCGTTCGTTATTTGAAAGGATGTCCAGGTCAGGGCATTTTTCTGTCAGCAGAGAGTAGCCTTCAACTCACAGGATGGTGTGATTCGGACTGGGCAGCATGTCCTTTGACGAGGCGGTCATTGGCAGGGTGGTTTGTGCAGCTTGGAGACTCGCCTGTCTCATGGAAAACAAAGAAGCAGTCGACGGTGGCTCGCTCGTCTGCTGAAGCAGAGTATAGAGCTTTGGCTGTCCTTACATGTGAGTTGAAGTGGTTGAAGAATGTTTTGCGGTGTTTAGGGGTTGAGCATAAGGACCCCATGACGGTCCGGTGTGACAGCACGGCAGCACTTCACATTGCTGCTAATCCGGTTTTCCACGAACGCACGAAACACATTGAGATAGATTGTCACTTCGTTCGTGATGAGCTCTTGCGAGGAGAGATTCGTACACTTCATGTGCCTACTACGCATCAGCTTGCAGACATTCATACAAAGCCACTCGGAAAGTCACGTTTGGAGTTTCTTCTTCCCAAGTTGGGCATTTCGTTACTACATGCTCCAACTTGAGGGAAGGTGTTAAAGGAAAGAGAATATTTGGTAGAATATTTGGAGATATTTGTGTATATATTGTTTTGGTAGTTTTCCTTGTATAGGGATTCTTTCCTTTTCCTTTTCCTTTACTTATTAGGAGTCTCAACTTGTGAGATCCTATATATATGTCCTCATTGTAAATTGTAAAGACAAGAGAGAAATACAGAGAATTTCCTCCCAAATAATTTTTTCAGGGCGTTACAAGAATACCAGTAGCATATATAGAAATGTGAGGTCCTATCTATTAGTTTAAGCTTTTGGGTTAGAATAGCGGATCTCAACTTTATATACAAGTGTTTAATTTTATCCGACACTCTGCCCGTTGTTCTCGATCCACTGGAATTTTAAAATGGAGAAAACTGAATTGGATAATAAGACACTTTGACTGAACAATATTAAGAGATTGAATTCAATCAATTACTTAGTTTAACTCAATAACTTATACACCGATTACTTTTCTAGTCAACTTCTGATGTTAGATAGACTTTAACAACCTCTATCTTTTGTTCCTCCTATGTCGCACCTCTCTCTTTTGTTCCTCTGTGCCACAGAATGAGGCGCAACATGCATATACAAACACTATTAAATGTTTAATAATGTGTCTCCTAAGTATGATCTACATATTTACAAGCACATTCATATGCGCATCATGCATGAGTTAGTAAATAAATTACTTGTACTACTTTCATCTCAGTGTATTTGTCTAATTTGACTTTTTCGTCAAACTAGACAAACTTTGAACTCCAATTACTCTCAATTTATATTGCATATTAGCATATTGAAATACAATTTTGAAAGTTCTCAATACGATAAAAGTTTGTCCAGTTTGAGTCATAAAAGTCAAACTGGACAAATACACTGGGGCGAAGGGAGTATCATTTATCTTAATACGTATTTTGCAGAATGTGATAAATAACTTGAATTCTAAGGTGCTGCATTGTCTAAATCGTTAAAGCTCTCTTGATCTCTTCCTTATTTTAGAGGATTAAGAAAGATAGAGATGACGGATGACAAAGAGATGAATAGAATAGTCGTGGGAAAAAATGGGGATGAAATTTGATAAACGACATAATTTAAGACAAAATATGATGGTAACTTGGTGATGGATATCTTGGACTGGGGTATCCAGCCCAACAAAATAAGCGACCCAACAAGGCGCATCTAATCGCAGGAATCAGACGCACTCGGCCAAAGACGCCTTGCTCGGCCGAGTGGGACTTAGATGAAACCTATTCAAGATGGCGACTGTACTCGGACATGCATTCCTACTCAATCCGGTTACATCCACTCGGACCATGGGACGAACACAGTAAGATCCTTTCTCGGCTGGCTTCGAACGGCAGCGCCTGTGCACTCGGCTTTCGTACTTGGCCTCTGCCGCCAGCAAAGCACTGTGCACCTACTACGGGCGTGGGAGCCTGTATACCCTATCTAATCAACGGGCCCACGCTTAGACATCTCTGATACGATTGTCTATATTTTAGTTGTAGCCACCTTATTTGTAGCCACCCAATTTATAGCCACCCTATTTGTAATCATATTTCTTGTATTTTCATTCCCATGCCATGGCTTCCGATGGCCCCAGCTCACCAGGCTATGTCCTACACAACCAGCTAGGAAGCACACACATGAGAAAATGTATTATATAAATATCCCTCCCCTGAAGGAGGGAAGACACGATCACATTTTTACTACCAAGCAAGTATATTACTCTACTCTTGCGACCAAAAGGAACTCAACACTTGTTCGATACTCTTATACCTAGTCTCTTAGGTTCCGGGTTATAAAATCCATCACTTTGTAAATAGGAACTAGGTGAGTCATCTTAACTAACCAAGAATGATAACTACTTTTGTGACCTTTTTTAAAATAATTTTTCTTTTGCAAGGATAACTTAAATAAAAAATACGGTGGAGTTCTAGTGACACCCACGTTTGGTGACACTAGTGGTGCCACGGTCATTTTGGAGCACTTCCGATGTTCCGTTCATAAAATTGACGGTTCCTATCCTCCTAACTCACCCCATAAACCCCCCACCTAACACCCGCACCTGCACCCCACCCAACCCCGCTGTAAGACCCCCCACAAAATGTGTGGCTATTATGCATTGCACAATAGCCACACATTTTGTAGGGGGCTTACGACAGAGTTGGGGTGGGGGTGCAGAGGCAGGGGTAGGGTAGAGGGTTAAGGGGGTGGGTTAGGAGGATAAGAACCGTCAATTTTACGAACAAAGCACCGGAAGTGCTCAAAAATAACAATGGCACTAGAGTGTCACCGTACTCCGGTGTCACTAAAACCCCACCGAAAAAATATTGTAAAATTTGCACTGGATAAGACTAAAACATAGATCATTTTCCAATGTAGGACTTAAACTCTTTTATTCTTTAAATATGACTTAATAATGACTAGTATGAATAATAATGTCCAAGTGATGCTGGATATTTAGTTGAATAATGACTAATAGATAATGACCAATGGTCCTAAATTGGGAAATAAAAACATATGGTCCTATATTGAGAAAGTCATTATGTTTTAGTCATATTTAGGTAAAATTAAAACAAAAATTACTTATTTTATTGATATGGAAAACATATACGAAGTATTTAATACTTCCTCCGTCCCTGAGTTTTTGTCCACTTTCATTTTTACACACCATCCAATACACTTCTTTAATCCATTTTATCTTGTAATTTGTATATTAAAAAATTATAAAAATTATATATTAATAATCTATATGTTAAGACGAATCAATCAAGATCACACATGACTATTTTTAGGCTTACACATTGAGAGAATTTGATGAGTCAAAGTGCTTAGATGAACAGTTCCAAAAGTCAAAAGTGGACAAACACTCAGGGACGGACCAAGTACAAATTAAAATCAGATTTGACTAGTATGTACTTTAATTTTATTAACGGAGACTTCAACATCAAGTTCTTATAAAAAGAAAAAAGAATAAATATACAAGTACACACAGTCTCATACTAGTTAAGCTTGAAAGAAATTTTTGCAGTGGGTGAGAAAATTGATGAGAAAGTAGAATAGCTTGAAACTCACTTTTTTGGGAAATTTCTCGGAATCTACAGAAGCTTATTAATTATTCAGAAGAATGGAATTGAAGATACCTAAAATTTACTTTGGAGCACATCTATGGCCGGAGACTACCTGCAGAATTTCTCCACAACCTTGGCCAGCTTCACATGCCTTTGAGTCAATGCTTCCATTAACTCTGCCTCTCTAGCTTCACAATCCCTCTCCACTGCCATCACCCCTTCTCTGTACTCAATCTCTACCCTTCCCCGGAACCCCTCTTCCTCTTCTCTCAGCCGCCGTATCCGCTCCCCGATCTCCTCCATCTTCTCCCTCTTCTTCCGACCCTTCTCCGCCTCCAGCTGCTGCTCCAGCCGCCTCATCCGCCACGCCGCCTCCTTCCTGTGCTGCATCCAGTTCGCCCGGCCCTCTTCCAGCTCCCTGACGTACTGGACAAGAGCGCAGATCTGCTCGCCGGAAGATGAATTAGATGCGGCGGCGGCGGCCGGGAAGGGGTGATTCATCACCCATTGTCCCACCGGCTGCGATTCCGAGGGGAACCCGTAGAGCGCCTGCTGGCGGCCGACGTACTTCTCGGCGAACGTCTCGAGAATGTGGTCGTACTTCCCGTGGACGGCGGAATCCGGCGACCCGGCACCGGGAGCGGAGGCGGGTCCGTCCCCCGGTGGAAGCTTGCGGGACTTGATGAGGAGCTGCTGCTGCTGCTTGGCCTCCTTCTCCTTGAAAACCTCCCACCACTTGCCGAGCCTCTTGGCGGTCCGGCCGGGGATCTCGGCGGCGATCTTCTTCCACTTGTTGCCGTACTTGGCCTGGAGGGAAATGAGGAGCTCCTGCTCGTCGGGGGTGAGGGACCCTTTCTTGAGGCCGGGTTTGAGGTAGTTCTTCCAGCGCTCGAGGCAGGACTTGGGATCCCGATCCAGCGGCTGACCCATGCGCTGGGGGATCAGATTCCATTCCTTAGGGCCGTACTGCTTCACGTAGGAGAGGAGAAGGGAGTCTTCTTCGGGTCTCCATCGCTGACGCTCCCCCTTCATCATCACCTTCTTGTTGGGAGGGGGTTTTTTTTACCAGTTGGGCATTATTTATGAAAATTTCTCCGCTAGGGAACAATATAGAAATCCGGAAGATTCACGCTGGTTCAGATTGGGGGGTAAAGGTAAACTGTCAGCTTCGGGTTTTGGGTAATGAAAGCGAGAGTGGAGTGCATATGAGCCAAAAATGGATAGAGAGAGAGAGATCGGGGACCGTACCCATCCATGCTTTAATCACATCGGAATATGCTACAGTAATTTCTTAACTTTGAGTTTTCTTTTCACAGCACCGTAAATACCTTAGTCTTACTCTTGTACATCAAACCTTCTCTTTATGCCATATCAGTTCTAGTTTTCTTTAATTTATCTTAGAATTTCACTGGAAGTGAATTCCTGATCGGTTATAGAATGAGATCCTCGTCATTAGAGTTGTTTAGGTTGATGGCAGACTTTTAACTGACAAGCCGTTAGTATCTTCCGTGTCAACCTCATTAGGAGATCTTTTCTTTGACGATCAGGCATCTCAAAGTTGTAGAATTGTTGCCATTTCGGAGAACGCCTTAAAATTCTCCACAATTCAATGGGGACTTTGCCTTGGTGTATGTCGTTTTGGTATCGAGGGGTGGCTTGCCGCAGAATATCAGCACCATTCTTCCCGCTCTTCTTGGATCGCGCACATTCCTTATACATTCTGATACATTTTCGAACTTTTTTATTTATGTGACCTCATTTGGAACTTGCAAGTGAGTTAACCTCTAGTTCGGTAGGAAGGGTCCTTGTTCATTGCAACAAAAAGTTTCTTCTCAATACGATCTCATATCTCGTTTGATAAAAACTTTTGAAAAAATGTAATCTAACACAAATATATGACATACAACATATATTTCATCCGTCCCGGAGTGTTCGTCCACTTTTGACTTTTGGAACTGTTCATCAAAGCACTTTGACTCATCAAATTCTCTCAATGTGTAAGCCTCCATATAGTCATGTGTGATTTTGTTTGATGTGTCTTAACATATAGATTATTAATATATAATTTCTATAATTTTTTAATATACAAATTACAAGATAAAATAGATTAAAGAAGTGCATTGGATGGTGTGTAAAAATGAAAGTGGACAAATACTTTGTGACGGAGGTAGTATAAACTATATAATTAAAAATTTTAAAATTTATCAACGATAGCATGCTCCGAGACGTTGAGTGCCTCTCAACCAGAAATGGATAGAGAGATCGGGGACCGTACCCATCCATGCTTTAATCACACATAAATTCATGGGGTAAATTCTACTCCCTCCGTCCGGAAATATTCTTCCCGTGTTAACTTGGCACGCTTATTAAGGAATAATAAAAAATGCAGAATTTTCAAAAATCCACATACTATAAACTTTTAAATCTCCTTTTATTATTAAAAAAGTACTAAAAAAGTAGATTTGTGATAAAATAAAAGGGTATTATTGATACGAAGTATTTATCCTTAAAAAGTAGACTAAAAAAGGAAATGGGAAGAATATTTTTGGATGGATCAAAAAGGAAAGTGGGAAGAATATTTCCTGACGGAGGGAGTATATATTATTAAATATTTGGTTTTTTTAAGGATATCTTTATGTGAATTTTTTGTTACTCCTTTTGTCCCTAAAAGAATGTCATTTTTCCTTTTTATTAGTCACGTAAATTTTTGTTTACTTGTATATTTTCATTTATTATTTGATACTTAGCTTTTCTCTATTTTAAAATTATCTTCTCTGTCACTATTTTTTTTCTTCTCTGTCACTATTCACATAGTCAATTTTATTTTTACTTTTTTTTTACCTATTTTTTTAGTTATTTGATAAAATAATGTAGTCATCTCACCTCTTAAGCTTGTTTTGTAAAATTTTTGATGTATTTTGAAATATATAATTTTCATTTTTTAACTTTACACCTATTGTCAAATAAATTGAATTGAAAATAATTTCAGTCAAACTTCGTAAACAGAACTAGTAGGATCATTATAGGACGGAGGATGTAAAATAAACTATTCTTGACACCTCTTATTTTTAAAAATTTTTTATGTAGTTTTTAAATATATAAAATTGATTTTTTAATACTAATATTTAAATAAAATGAATTGAAAAAATTTGATATTTTACATCGTTTTGTGAAATGTGGTAAACAATTTGGGACGGAGGGAGTGCCTTTTATCATGTTAATGTGAAACTCAAGGCAAAAAATATAATTTCAAATTGACTCGATATATGTCCAGTGGCATATTTTGATGTCAGCTTGATGGACAACCAATCATAATGACTATATATAGCTATGAACTAGAGTTTTGATCATGGACAACATTTATAGACTATCCAGATAGTGACTTCCATAGGCACATCAGCTCCGACCTTCAAGCATTGGTTAAGACAAGAAAGATATATATGATCATTGTGAAATTATAGTTTTAACCCTCAATTTAACACCAAAATGATAGAAGGTCAAAAATATTACCAGTGGAAACATGAGAGGCTCGGAGGGTGTGCAATACGTGTATCCGCACAGGATCCCCAAAATTTTAGGGCCAATACTTTTATATGTTCTTTATTCTAATTACTTGATATTTTAAATTTTAATTTAAGTTTATATTTTAATATTCAAATTATTATAAAAATGGTTATTAAAAATCAAATTTAGCACTACTTTTAAAGCATGAGAATTCTACGAAAATTAAAATAGGGCCCAGCACGTGAATTTTGCACAGTGCCAATCTCATTTTTTCACATTTTCAGACCCATCCTACGTGGAAAGATATTCATAAAAGAAAGATCACGAGCGTAATATTTAATAATAGATTACTAGATATGGAAAAGCCATTATTAAAAAGAATCAGTTGTAGAATTTACTAAAAACTTATTTATCTGAAGATCAACAAATCACTCCAAAAATAATAATAAAACATAGTTTTCACTTAACCATGAATAATGTGAGTGCTTTTATGTGTTTATAAGCAGATCAAAATTACTTGGCCCTCGGATTGGGCTCGTGCAAAACGGCCAAGGAGGTATATGAGATTTTTCTTCAAGCCACGCATGAAGGCAACACCTCCACGAAGCAAACCATGTTGGCCCTCGGAAACTTATGAAAGTTTCAAAGTCGGCCAACACGAGTCGATCAGAGATGCCCATAGAAGGTTCAATGAAATAATCAATGTAACACCCCAAAACATACCTTAGAATTATTAATGAATAATTATTCAATGAATTTAATTTATTTTGATTAAAATAAATTTTTATTGGTCTTCGGGCCGAAATGAAATGTGTTTTAATATCGAATATCACAATCTAGATAAATCTCATAGAGATAAATCCAATTTGTTGACTTATTATGTATTCTTGATTGGGAACAAAAGTACAAACCCAAATCAAGAATAGATAAATAATTTGTTTATGATGTGAACTTTGAAATGATTTATTGAAATAAATCATGAAAATAAGTAATATGAATTAAATGAAAGAACCTTTTTGAATAAAAGTCAATTAAATCAATTTTGACTCTATTAAAGTCAAACACTCAAAAATATGATATCACAAAAAGTTTTACAGATAATTATGAAAATTATATCGTTGGATAGAGTTTAACTGTGCGATTGCAACGGTATAAACGAATTTAAATTCGGGGCAAGTTGTACCAAAAAGTGTACCCCGACTGGAACCAATTGAAATCCTACGCAGCAGTAGCTCATCTTCCATGTCTTCTTCTTCACCTCAACCTCTAAAAGAAGAGATAATTCTTCTCATTTCTGCACCATTCTCCTTCTTTTTTCTAACTGTGAATTCCTTGGAGTGTGAAGAGTATTGTGGTTCTATCAAATTGGTGTGAAGTCGCCAGAGCTAGCCACAAACCTCGCCGAAAGTTTTGCCAGAAAATTTCGAAAACCTTCATTTTCGCTCGAGGTAAGCCTGTAGATATATCTAGTGACTAAAATGTTCGTACAATTGGTTCCATGTTCAAAAATGGTTTTCTTGTTGAGTTTTGTGTTTGACATGTTTGAAGAACCAATAATTTAAAAAATTAATCCAACTCAATACTTCCCCGACTCATAATTAATCCCAAAAAAACCTAATGAAAATTTGACCCAATTTGAAACCTTAATTGAAACCTACCCAAAGAAACGCGGATCCAATAGATATGCAAAAGACTCAATTAAGGCAGCGTTCCGTTCAACTTATTTTTTCTATTTATTACTTATTCTTATCAAAATCAAATCATATCAGATTAGATTAAATCAAATAAAATCTAATCAGATCATCTCAGACCAGATCTAAATAAAATTAGTATTATTATTTTTGTTATTAGTATTACTATTTTTATTATAGAAATCATCCTAAATAGGACAAAAACATTGAGAAAAGTACCAAAATAGGACTTTCATGTTTTTTCCCCAGAATAGGACTTTGCATTGTGGTAATTTGACTTTGCATTGTGGTAATGTGACAGTGTACATGTGCAAATTACTATACTTTTTTGATAAGGTATATGACCATGTTTGGTAATGTAAGTCCTATTTCGGGAATAAAAACATGGAAGTCCTATTTTGGTATATTTTCAATATTTTAGTCATACTTTGGTCTTTCTCCCTTTTTATTATTACCATTATTATTAGTATTATTATTACTATTAATATCATGATTATAATTATTATTACTATTGTTATTATTATTACTATTATTAGTATTACTATTAATTTTATAATATTATTATTGTTACTATTTATATTATTACTGTTATTATTAGTACTATTACTATTATTATTACTATTACTATTATTGTTACTATTACTATTTTTATTATTATTACTATTATTATTATTATTACTATTATTATTATTTTATTATTATTATTTCTATTATTATTAGTATGATTACTATTAGGGGTGTTCAAAAATATCCGATCCGAAATATCCGTCCACGATCCGGGCCGATCCGATCCGAAAAATGGATATCCGATCCGATATTTTAGCTTTCGGATATTTTGGATCGGATACCCGAAAAAAATCGGATCGGATATGGATTCAATTTCTGGAATTTTTCGGATAACCGGATATCCGATTTTTTTTTTGCTTTATATTTTTGGTTTTTTATGGATATATATTATGACTATATGTTTAAATGTAAGTTTATGTTGATTTTGGAACTCAACCATTTTGGACTTTTTGCATTAGCATTTTAGAATCTTTAGTTTTAATAATGTTTTTTTGTTTGTTTAGGCAAAATTACCAAAATTACTCCCAAATTAAATTTGATATTATTTTTTTATTAGGCCATTACTTAGTGGTGAAATTTTTCTTTTAGTAAATCTATATTGAATTTGATATTTTGGGTTGATTTTGCTATTTTACCTTTTTTTTTTTTGTAAATTTTGGCTAAAAACTCAACTTTTTGGATAATCCAGTGATCCGATCCGAAAAATCGGATATCCGAATTTCGGATATCCGAATATTTTCGGATCGGATATGGAATGAGTTTTACATGATCCGAAATTTTCGGATATCCGAATTTTCGGATCGGATCGGATCGGATCGATCCGATTGAACACCCTTAATTACTATTACTATTATAATTATGACTATAATTATTGTTACTATTATTATTATTATTATTATTATTACTACTACTACTACTACTAATATTATTATTACGTACTATTATTCTTATTATTATGATTACTATCATCATCATCATCATTGTTACTAATATTATTATTAGTATTACTATCATTAATATTATTAATAGTTCTATTGTTATTTTTATTTTTATTATTTATTTTACCATTCGTATCTTATTATTATAGTTATTATTAATATTACTATTATTACTATTATTTCTTTTATTATCAATATGTCCATTATTATTATTTCCATTATTATTATTATTATTGTTATTATTATTATTATTATTACTATTCTTATTATTATTTTTATTATTATCTTATTACTATAAGTATTATTATTATCATCATCATGAATATTATTAATAATATTTCTATAATTATTATTATTATAACTATTGTTATAACTATTACTCTGGTATAATAAAAACTTTAAAATTAATTTTAATTTTAATCAAAATCATATCTGATCCAATCAGATCAAATCCAATCATATCAGACCACATTAGATCAAAACTTCAGAAAAAATAGATCAGATCAGATTACATAAGGCGAGCGGAACGCAGCCTAATTCTTAACCCAAGCATAACCTAAATCTAATTCGAATCTGAAGAGAAAAGCATTGACTTGAATTTTGTCCATCTCAAACATAGCCCAGACCGAACTTGAACCCAGCCCAAAGCAATGAAAGTATGTTAACCCAAATGCCGTACCAGATAAAGGACCACAGCTCGACCCGAATGAGCCGTTTGTCATGTTTTCAAATGACAAACTCTTTTTCTATCTTTTGGAACAAACAACATGATTATACTCCTTCGCCCAAAAATAGTTTATATTTAAAAATAGTATTAAATCAACCAGAATGAAAATTGTGACATCGTGATTATACTCCTCCGTGTGTTTCTTTTAGAGTGTTTAGGTCCATACTTATTTTATGGTTCTTATTACATAAGATCAATATCTATATTGGACTTTATAAAAATGAATATGTCGAATTATGAGTCCATAAAAAATAAGTGAGAAGGTTCGCATTTCATATGAGAATAATAAGATCACGATAGCACAACTCGTCAATCGTCATCAAAAGATCATTACTATTACTATTAGCAGAACTAAATTACGAAGTACTACTACTTCCGTCCCAGTGCATTTGTCTTGATTTTTTAGAGTTAAATTCAATAAATTTTAAGCTTCAATTACTCTTAATTTATATTTCATATTAGCCCAATGAAATTAGTTTTGAAAAATCTCAACAAGATTAATCTAATAAAATCATTTTAATACTAATATACATTACACGTTTTGTTTAGTTAAAGTTAGAGTTCATCTTGTTTGACTCGAAAAGTAAAAGTAAACAAATATACTGAAACGGAAAGAGTATATTTTTAATGATGTATTTTCACTAATAATTAAATGAAATAATATACTCGGGTAATAATGTTAACCTTTTGATATAGTTTTAAGAGAAATGCTAGAGTCACAAACATTTCGGTCACAAAATACACAACCTTGCCATTTATGTATTTAAATGTTTACCTTTTAATTATTCAACATCATTTAATTCATTTAGTGAGGTGCACAAATGGCAAGGTTGTGTATTTTGTGACCGAAGTGTATGTGACTCTATCATTTCTTTAGTTTTAAAATAAAGAAATACTCCGTATATTTTAATAGAGCTAATAGATACCCCTTATCTTCAAAATATAAGTATTATGTTTTAATTCCCGATATAAGACATAATTTATTTGAAGATATGATCTTGATTGAAAAGAACTCTACCAAAATATCCGACTTAAGAGCACTGGTAATGGTTATGAAGCCCCGGGCCTTCAAACTTTCTCTCTATGTCACGTCAACTTTAACTTACACCCAAAATTCACTGGAAATGGTTTTGAAGCCCCGGGGCTTCAAACTGGGGCTTCAAACCTTCATTTTTACATTTTTAAATATACATCTTCTAAAATTAAATTAATAAAATGTAATTAATTTATTATTTAATTAAATTGAAACACGAATAAAAAATACATTAATTAAATAAAAAAAAGCGACAATAATTTAAAAAAAACATACATTAATAAAAAAACTAAGGTAAATTATATTTCTCCTTGATCTCTCTCATTCTTTGCTCGTAGATAATTCGTCCAAACTCCGACAACGTCCCGGGGTCGGTTTGCATGACTTTCATCTCGGCCTCCTGCTCCTTTATCTTCAACTCCTTCTCCTTTAGCTTCAACCTCTCTTGTTCCTGGAGATTGAACGCCCGAAGTTGTTCAACCATTGCCCCGCCGATTTCGTCGTGGGGAGAAGCGGAAATAGAGGCGGACCCTCCCGAACCAGAGGCAATGGATTTTGCCTTCTTTCTTCCGATCGGCCGTGGAATGGGGTCCTTGTCATCGGAATCCGCAACGTTGAAGGGAGGGATTTGATCGGTAGAACCGATAGTCTCGTCGACCTCAACCTCGGCGGCGCCGGTGGATCTTTTCTGCAATGATCCGCCGTCGGGATTGTTGAGTTGTTGCCACTTGGGGAACGACTCAAAATCTTCCAAAGATCGATGGACACCTTGCCTTGGTTCCCGTCGTCTTGATACCGGGTCGTGGCAAGCCGGAGAACATCGACGTCGTTCGTGCCGCTCCTCCGGGACCGGGAGCATTCCTCGTAAACTCCCATAAACTTTCGGACTTTTTTGTTGATGTGGCACCATTTGGAAGTGAGTTGGTCCCGGGTTCGGTAGGAGCCGTCCTTCTTTATCGCCGTGAAGAACTTCTCCTCGATACGATCCCACATCGCATCCTTCGTTTGCTCCGTACCTTTAGAAATGTATTACACGATTTTTTTAGACACCATTAAATATAATATATATAAATAAAAACATAAATATATTAGAAAAAATAAATTTTTTACCAATGATAGGATGCTCGGAGACGTAAACCCAAGCCGACCCCAATATGCACTCCTCCTCCGGCGACCACTTTTTGATTGACCGTGCCGCCTCGGTCAACGTGCTTTTGGCTTTGTGACTTTTCCGACGTGTACTTTTTTTCGATTAGGACGGTTCCGGTTGAGTCTCCGGAACCGAATCTCGGTCGACGTACCCCGATTGTTGCGTCTCGTACATCGGCGGTCGATCGCCCAACTCTTGGTAATACCACATCGCGGCGTCGACGGGCGGGAGATCGTCGGGAAAGAAGCCGGAGCCGGAAGGATTCATGTTGAAAATTGGGAGGAGGGGTTTGAATTTTGAAATTTAAAAATAAGAAAGAAGAAGAGATTGAAGAGAAGGTGTGAGAGATTGGTTGGGGAGGGTTGAATTTATAGGGAATTTTTTTTTTTTGAAATCTGGGCTGCAACGGCTTTTTTAGCCGTTAGGAGGGAGCCGCGCAAGAGTCACGCCGCGTCAAACGAATGACGCAGGGCTCCTCACGCCCGTTTAACGCCGGCGGGGGGGCGGTGTTTCACGCCCCTGGGGCGTTTAACGCCCCGTAACGCCGGTGGGCGTGAGGAGTATTACCAGTGCTCTAAGAGGGCGGATGATAATGATAAAAAGCACAGAGCTTGGAAACAAGATGAGTGATGTTCGCAGTATCCGGCTTGAGATTACAATGGCTTATGCGTTTATGCCCTTAAATATAGTTACAAGTATAACTAAGCCAATTTTAGAAGAAGCAAGTATTTTTTATTTCTAATTTTTTTATTTTTAAAATCATGATCCTTTCTATTGAGGGATTTAATTTTGATCTTTTATTTTCTCATTTCGTTTATTTTATTTTATATTATTTTGAGTATTTTTATTTTTTAATTTTTTTTACATATATTTGTAAAGAAAAACAATGAACATATCATTTTTTTCCTAATAGTCAAATCCAAAAGCAACTCTCTTTGGTATATTCTTATCACCTCTAATTTTGTCAAACTTTTGACGTAATTTTTTAATATTTAAGTTTTATATCTTATCGATATACCGATTTGTAAATAAAATAAGGGAGTCTTAGATTAACTAGAAAGAAAATTGTGACATCATGATATTACTCCTCCGTCATCAAAAGATCATTATTATTACTATTAGAGCACACGGTATACCTATCACGCCCATAGGCGTTATCTCCACTTTGACGCTTGGGGGGCGTTAAACACCGCCCCCCTCCCTCGTTATCGGGGCGTTAAAATCCCTGCGTCATTCTTTTGATGCAATTTGAGGCGTGATAACGCCTCTTTCTTCTTTTTTTCTCCTTCTTTTTTCCTCTTTTCTTATCTATAAATTAAATTTAATTTTTTTTAAAAATTCAACACAAATATAAATTTCTCTCTATCTATCAATTTTTTTTAAAAAAAATTAGTATTCAAGTATTTTATTTATTTTTTCATGAATGTAATTTTTTTATTTAATGAATGTAATGTTTTTATTTAATTAATGTTGTTTTTTATAATGAATGCAATTTTTTATTTAATGAATGTAATTTTTTTATTTAAAATCATGGAAGCTACCTTTCTACGTTGTCGGGTTTCAAACGGATGATATACGAGCAAAGACAAAGAGAGATCAAGGCGAAATATAATTTACCTTAGTTTTTTAAACTAATATATCTTTTTTAATATTGTTGTTTTTTTATTTTAATGAATGTATTTTTTTTGTATTCGTGTTTCAATATTACTAAATAATAAATTAATTTAAATTTACTAATTTAAATTTAGAAGATGTATATTTAAACATGTAAAAAATAAAGGTTTGAAGCCCCAGTTTGAAGCCTCGGGGCTTCAAACCCATTTCCAGTGAATTTTTGGTGTAAATTAAAGCTGACGTGGCAGAGAGAGAAATTTTGAAGCCCCGGTTTGAAGCGCCGGGGCTTCAAAGGTATTACCAGTGCTCTTAGCACAACAAAATTGCAGAGTACTACCTCGATTTTAGTATATTAGCTTAATTTGACCTTTTTAAGTTAAATGAGATAAACTTTGAACTTTAATAATAACTCTCAATTTGTATTTCATATTAGTATAATGAAATTAAATTTTAAAAGATCTCAACAAGATTAATCTAAATTAGATCTAATGGGTGGGCTGACAATTGTGATACGGGCAAGGTGGTGGTGAGGCTGCAGTGATGGTGGGGGAGGGGGCCTCTACGGTGGTGGTGGGGTTAACGGAGTTGGTTGGAGCAATGGGAAGTGGTAGTGGCGGGCAGGGACAATTTTGGCAAAAGAGAAGGGTAATTTGGACATTTTTTCCCAAAGTCAACACTTTAAAAAAATGAGAAAAAGTCCAAATGGGAAGATTTTTCCCGGACGGAGGGAGTATTTTTATACTAATATACGTTTCACGTTTTATTTGTTTAACTAAAGTTAAAGCTTATCTTGTTTGAAAAAAAAAATAAACTAGACAAATACACTGAGACAGAAGGAGTATATTTTTATGGCATATTTTAACTAAAATAATTAAATGAAATAAGATACTCGGGTTATAATGTTAATCTTTTGAGGTAGTTTAGAAATAAAGAAATCTGTCGTTAATCCGGATTCTGATAGATTTTTTTTGGATTCTAAAAATCCGTAGGTATTCAATTTAGAATTTAAAAAGTCATTTAAAATCTGGGTGTATTCAATTCAAATTTTAAAAAATCTTTCTAAGTATGATGGTATTCAAAAATTGATGAATTTTTAAAGATTTTAAAAATTGTGGATTTTGATGGATTTTCATGCCTTGGGTATAAATACAAATCCAATTTTCAAACCCAATCAAAAGACCTGGGAGGTCGTTGTCCTATCGCCGAGGAGGTCGTCGTCCTATCGCCGAGGAGGTCGTCGTCCTATCACCGAGGAAGTCGTCTTGTTCGCCGTAAGAAAGCCGGGAGGAAGACGGAGGAGAAAAAAGAAAAGAAAAAGAAAAAAAGGAAAGAAAACATAGAAAGAAGGAAATGGTATGGAAGAAGCGGCGCGGCTAGGGTTCCTCGGGGAAGGAGGAGAAAAAAGAAAAGAAAAAGAAAAAGAAAAAAGAAAAAAGAAAAGAAAGATGTAAATCCTATAAAATCCTTTGATAGAATACATTGGAATCTAATTAACTCTGCTTAAACTTTAAACAATCCAATGAACTTACAAAATCTATGAATTCTAAAAAATCTATCAAAATCATTTAAAATCTAAATTGAATACAACCCCCTAAAAGACACTTATTATCTCCAAAATATGAGTGATGCTTATATTATCTCAAAGTTCACATTTAAAGTGTAGACCTTATTATTTTTACATGGACTTTCATGTGAATATTTTCTTTTTTATCATAGGCCCAATTCTGCTTATGCTACAAATACATTAAAGCCCATAAAACAAGCATAGACCTTAGGTCGACCGAAGACTTTGCCCCAAAATATAGACATTATTAGTGGTGGGCAAACGAGTCCTGGAATCGCGGGTCGAAACCAAACCGCATGGTTCGGGGCGAGTTAGGGTCGGGTCCAAGTTTTATATTTAAAAACAAGTCTTCCCGGGATGGGTCCTCAAGAAAAACAAGTCGGCCGGTTCCTAATATTTAGAAACAAGAAGAGCTAGACCGGCACGTTTCTTATAATATATAAAAAGTATTAAATTAATAAAAATATTCTCAATCATCAAATTGCATCAATAAATAAGTTCTATATGATATATTCAATATTCTAGTAATAAGGTTTCAATATTCTAGTAATAAAGTTTTATATATAGAATAATTAGTAAAATTTTAGTTGTCAATCATATTTTTTTCTTATACATTTTACAACTTCAATTGGCGAAAGTCTTTTGTTGGTTGTATGTTATACTCCGTAATTTATTGGGGAATTTACGTAAATAGCACTAAAACATAATGACTTTTCCTAAATATCACTACATGTGTTTTTTTTACCAATGTAGCATTTTTAGTCATTATCCATTAGTCATTATCCATTAGTCATTATTTAAGTAAATGTTTGCCATCACTAGTCACTATAGACATCATTAAGTACTATTTAGGGAATAAAACAATTTAAGTGTTATTTAGAGAAATGACTTAAGTTTTAGTGCTATTCAGTGCAAATATTTCTAATTTATTTTAAATTCATTTATGGAAAGCATGGATAAGTATAAAAAAGTGTAGTATTCTAGTGACGATACTAATATACATTGTTTAATTGTATATGATATATTTTAATTAATTAATTTAATAGAAAAAAACTCACGGGCCCGCGGACTCGCAAAACCGAACACTTCAAAACAAGTCAGGTTAGGGTCGGTTCTAAATATTTTTTTCAATAATCCGACCCGTCTCGACCCGTTTATTCTAAAAACAAGTCGGGGCTGGATCCTATGAAAATCGGGCCGATCCGACCCATGCCCACTCCTAGGTATTGTGTTTTCATCTCATATAGGAGGCTTTTTTTCATACAAGGTACCCCAACTTTAAAGATTGTAACAAAAAGGTACTTCATCTTATGTTTGTAACAAAGAAGTACCTTATCTTTCAAATATATAACAAAATTATACCTTTCACCGGAATTGAAACCCTCCGACTAAGATTTGATGATGTGGCATCCATGTTGTATTTTATATGCTTACTTGTATTCCACTTTCTCTATTTTTTGGACTGCCCTATCTATCTAATTGATAATCTCTACTCAAAATACTAACCTTCCCAATTCACCCAAAAATTAGCCTTCCAAATCTCTCCCCCAAAAATTAGCCTTCCAAATCTCTCCCCCATTTTGGCATTTATTAAGTAAACATGCACATCTAGTTAGTTTATAAAGATCGACTTTGGAAATTTTACATTTGCTAAAATACGTTATTTATCTATTTATTT